GACTTCATCAAGATAAAAAGCTTTTGCACAGTGAAGGAAACAATCAACAAAACTACAAAGCAGCCTATAGAATGGGAGAAGATGTTTGCAAATAGCACATCTGATAAAGGGTTAGTATCCACAATTTATAAAGAGCTTATCAAACTCAACACCTAAAAAACAAATAACCCAGTTAAGAAGTGGGCAGAAGACATGAATAGACACTTTTCCAAAGAAGACATCCAGATGGCTAACAGACACATGAAAAGATGTTCAGTATCACTCATCATCAGGGAAACACAAATCAAAACCACAGTGAGATACCACCTCACACCTGTCAGAATGGCTACAATTAACAACATAAGAAATAATGGGTGTTGGTGAGGATGCAGAGAAAGGGGAACTGTCCTTCACTGTCACTGGGAATGCAAACTGGCACAGCCACTCTGGAGAACAGTATGGAGATTCCTTAAAAAAAACTAAAAAATAGGACTACCCTATGACCCAGTAATTGCACTATTAGGTATTTACCCAAAGGATACAAAAATACAGATTTGAAGGGGTATATGCATCCCAGTGTTTATAGCATCAGTACCAACAACAGGCAAATTATGGAGAGAGCCCAAATGTCCACTGATGAATGGATAAAGAAGATATGATATGTGTACACACACACACACACACACACACACACACACACACACTGAAATATTACTCAGCCATCAAAAAGAATGAAATCTTTCCATTTGCAGTGATGTGAATGGAGCTAGAATGTATTATGCTAAGTGAAATAAGTCAGAGAAAGACATATGATCTCATTTATATGTGGAATTTAAGAAACAAAACAGATGAACATACAGGAAGGGCAGGAGAGAAGAGAGGGAAACAAACCACAAGAGACTTAATGATAGAGAACAAACTGGGTTGATGGAGGGAGGTGGGTGGGAGGTGGGCTACATGGGTGATGGGTACTAAGGAGGGCACTTGCTGGGATGAGCACTGGGTGTTGTATGTAAGTGATGAATCATTGAATTCTTCTCCTGAAATCAAAATTGTGCTTCATGTTAACTGAAATCGAAATTTTAAAAAAAGGCAGTGGGGTTAAGAATTGCATTTATGGGGGGCACTTGGGTGGCTCAGTCAGTTAAGTGTCTGACTTCAGATCATCATCTTATGGTTTGTGAGTTTGAGCCCTGCATCAGGCTCTCAACTGTCATCGCAGAGCCTGCTTCAGATCTTCTCTCTCCCTCTCTCTCTGCCCCTCTCCCACTTACTCTCTCTCTCTTCTCTCTGTCTGTCTCTCAAAAATAAACATTTAAAAAAAGAATTGCATTATATATGTACTTAATTATTATTATGTACTTAAATATTGACAAGAGTGTTATTTACAAATAAAATCAATTTCATTTTGGAAAAGAGAGCTCCAGTTTTAAAGATACATTTTGCAAATATTAACGTAGTGAAACATTTTTAATGTCTCCTCTGTAAAAACCCTCTCTGCTTTTATAAGCTGGTATGTGTTCAGGAGGGAGAGAGGTACCCAGTGCTAAATGACATTCATCCATTCATGTTCTTCTTTCCAATAATTTGTATTAAATGAAGAGAGGAGAGGGTCTTTAAATGACTAAAGAAGCTTATTAAACACAGATGTGGTAAAGCCAGTTAAGAGGAAAGAAAAATACTGCAGTTTTCACGTAAAAGATAAGGAAACGTGGTGGACAGATGTCAAAGGGAACATTTTGAAGTAGCAGGAAAGCCTGGGAGGGAGTAAAGAAGATGGGTAGAGGCACCTGGGTGGCTCAGTTAAGTATTCTCTTTGGCTCAGGTCTCTATCTTGCAGTTTGGGAGTTCAGGCCCCGCTCTTAGAGCAGAGCCTGCTTCAGATCCTCAATCTCTCACTCTCTCTCTCTCTCTCTCTCTCCCCCCCTGCTCATACCCTCTCTCAAAAATAAGTAAACATAAAAAAAAGACCAAGAAGACGGGTAGGATGCAAGATACAGAAAATAGACATTTCATTTCTTTGTCTTTAAAGCAGCATCTTAATATCCTGAAAGAGGAGAAGGAGACCAAACAGCTACCATTTATTAGGGACCTACTTTGTGCCAGGTGCTGAGTCTCTTCTGGGCACTGGCACACACTCTGAGTAGGCACCCCAATGATAATTAAATCTGTTGAGACCTTCAGTGCACCAGACACTGTACTAGTGCTGATTTATGTAGGAGCTTCAGAGCGACCCTCTGAGAGAGGTGGCGGCATCCCCATTTCACAGATGAAGAAATAATGGAGACTGAAGGAACTTGGTCCTTGGCCCACAGCCCCAGATGGAGTACCATCTGGCTTCTTTCTAGAAAAGCCCATGCTGCTTCTGGACTGCTGTGTCACCTTCACAAGCATCTGATTGTACTGTGAACTAATTTATTTTTAAAAATTTTTAATGTTTTTTTAAAAAATTTATTTCTGAGAGAGAGACACACACAGCATGAGCAGGGGAGGGTCAGAGAGACAGAGTGACACAGAATCCGAAACAGCCTCCAGGCTCTGAGCTAGCTGTCAGCACAGAGCCTGACACGGGGCTTGAACCCACAAACCGTGAGATCATGACCTGAGCCGAAGTCGGACGCTCAACTGACTGAGCCACCCAGCCACCCCAAATTTTTTTAAATGTTTATTTACTTTTGAGAGAGACAGTGTGTGAGCTGGCAAGGGGCAGAGAGAGAGGGAGACACTGAATTCTGAGCTGTCAGCACAGAGCCTGACGCAGGGCTCGAACTCACAAACTGTGAGAGCATGACCTGAGCCACTCAGGTGCCCCATGTACTGTGAACTAATTAATTAGTTGAAAACACTACTCCCCCAGAACATGCTGCAGAATTACTGTTGTTCACCAAGCTCTGATGAGGAAAGATTCATTCAAAATGTCTGTGAAGATGGATTCAGGTCCATTTCCAATTAATTTTATTCTTCATTAATAATTATTTTTTTTTTTTTTTTTTTTTAATAAAAAATGATTTCTCTTTAAAAGCTCTGCATTTTCAGCAAATCAAAATTGAGTCAGGGGGAGAACAGTGGATGTTTTCAGTGCTTCCTTCCGGGGAACTCCTGGTCCACTCCAGTGTGCCTGGCCTCAACCAGATGTGGTGTCATCATTGCAAAAGAGCTGAGGGGCCTCGTGGAGAGAGGAGAGGACTGCGGTTGTTTGAGGTTTCCATTCTCTGCCTGCCATTCACTGGTAGAGAACATTACGAGCTGTCTAGTTATGTAGGGTTAGATCCCGCCCATCCCTCCCATCTCTCGTCCCAGAAGAAGATTGGGATTGTCCCCTTGCCCATGGGTGGAGATTTTTGGCAAATCTTCATTACTGGAACTTGGAGATACAGTCCTAAATCTTCCTGAATATTCTGAATGTGCTTATTCTATAACTGAACTTTTAGGAATACTGATTTATTATATGATTAGCTTGGCTGTACTGGGATTTGTTTTTGTTTTAACATTTTTAATGTTTATTTATTTTTGAGAAACAGAGAGAGAGCACAAGCAGAGAGGGACAGAGAGAGACACACACACAGAATCTGAAGCAGGCTCCAGGCTCTGAGCTAGGTGTCAGCACAGAGCCCGTCGCGGGGCTCGAACCCACAGACCACGAGATCATGACCTGAGCTGAAGGCCGATGCTTAATCAACTGGGCCACCCACGCCGTCCTGTACTGGGATTTGTTTTAATGGGATTTGGTGGGTGCCACTTTCCCCTCTAGTTTCTTTTTCTCACTACATCAGTTCTCCTAACTTTGGCATCAGTCTTCCCTCTGTGGGAAAGGGTGGGGGGGCTCCCAGGTACTTAGCTCTTGCTGCCTGCAGGGAACTATGAGCCCCAGAGCTTTCTCACTCACTTCTGTGCGTCTGCATTTCGCCCAGTGCCTGGCACACAGGCCCTCATGTTTGTCAAGTAATTAACTAGAACTACCTTCCATGTGCTCTGACCGTGATGTCCTTATACCTTTCCTTCATTGCCACCAGATGGGAACTAGGCATTCACAGGGTCTCTCAACAGGACAGGTTCTTCTGGCAGCACCGTATACTTGCCACTCAACTGAATTCTCAGAGGTGAGGCAAGTACAGAGTGCCTTATCTTCATAATAAAACTGACTGTTTCTTGTAATCTGTGAGAGGAAACACCGGAGTTCTTGCTTAACTTGCTTCTTTTTCCTGTGTCTTAACGCGACGGATTCCTCTTCCCAAGTCAGCGAGAAGGAGGCAGGACTGCATCCACGTTGCCCGTGCACTCTGGCATTGCGGCGTGGGGGGTGGAGGGTGTCATCGTCCGCGTCCAGGATGATGTGCTTCATGGTTGAGAGTTTTTCTAGAAATTAAGGTTTTGCCTAGAAAAGCGTTGGTCCCAAACTTGGGTTTAATTAAACTATTTTGGTGGAAGCATTTAAATTATTATTTCTTACACTGATATTTATTATGTATCAAGATTTATTATGGTATCATAGTGAGAATTTCGCTTTCTAAGCCTAGAAATCACAAAGGATAAGATTGACAGATGTGGCTAGTGAAAACATAAAACTTCTATATATGTAACACTGGCATAAAAAGAAGAAAATAAGATAAGAAAAATGTTTCCAGATCATGAAAAGAGTCATCTAAATGTCTATTATGTATGTAATAAAGTAAAAATCAATACCCCCACCCCTGGGAACAACTTAATATTCCATCAACAGGGAAACTCTCATCACATTTTAGTAACAGTACTAAGTGCTATCATTCTGCTCTCTGCTTCTCCCCACGGTTGGCGGCGGATGGCCCCCTCTCCGCGCTCACAGTTCATACCTCCTCAGTTGAAACAAGGCTCAATGGCTGCCTCTTGTTTCTCAGTCCCGCGTCTACTTCCTTTAGAAATCTGATTGGCCAAGTGTGGGTCACGTGCGGATCCCTCATCCAATCAGCTGCATCTTGGGGAGGGTTGGCTCGGGCGGAATAAACGTGGATGGCAGGGGGAAAAATGGCGGGGTGGGAGAGCGAAACCCTGAATCTTCTATATTTTGTTATCTCTTAGCATAAACCCCGCTTCCTATATACCCACACACCCCTCTGCCTCATCTAACCAGACACTGGCAGCAACGAATCTTCTCCCGCATCCCTGAGGGGAGAGTATTCACGGTCGTGTTGAGCTGTAGCAGGCAGAGGCTCCCGGAACCCAGGTAGGACCACCCTCCGGCTGCCAGACGGGGTGTGAGCAATCAGGTTAAACCACCCCAACAGACCCAGTATGAAGCCCTGGCAGGAAAACAGGACAAAATCGCAACACAGATTTCCCTTTGGAAAAAGAAACGGGGGGATAGGAAACTCCACTGTGTCACGTTCCGTTGTCACCCGTTGTTACAGAGCCTGTGGAGCATCCTGGACGCCAGGGAGAAGGTGAAGCCCCACTATTTAAAACATGACTATCAAAACCCAATCAGACTGAATCAAGCAGACAGGGAGAATTCATCGCAAAGATCCAAGCCCTCTCGCCACGTCCCCGGGCGGAAAATTTGGAAGATCCTCAGGAGAGGATCACTAGTGTCCCTCTTGGCCTCCTGAATCTGCGTCACTTTCCCTCTTTACTTCTCCGCGTCTCAGGCTCTAACCTAGAGGTCCCTCATACTGTTTAAAACACGAATTCAGAGGACCCCGCATTACTTTTGCAGAGTTCTTCGAGTACCACTGGGGCTACACACAATTTTAGGTAATACCATATGGAAAGCGTTGTATTTTTAATGGGTGTTTAATTGGCACTTATTTAACTTTTATTTATTGAAATAGGATACATACCAAAAACCCTCTGCTGTTTCTTGCTCTCATTGCTTAGGAAATTTAGTTACACTTTTAAAATGCAACAGTTTAGAGGTGCCTGGGTGGCTCAGTTGGTTAAGCACTGGACTTCAGCTCAGGTCATGATCTCACAGTTTGTGGGTTCGAGCTCTGCATGGGGCTTTGTGCTGACCGCTCTGAGCCTGGATCCTGCTTCAGATTCTGTGTCTCCCTTTCTCTCTGCCCCTCCCCACTAGCACTCTGTCTCTCTCTCTCAAAAGTAAACATTAAAAAAAAAATTTTTTTTTTAATGCAGCAGTTTATATAACAATATTAGGCCCATGACCATACAGACTGAAGGTCAAATGGCTATCACGGCGAGAGCCCTCCGGAGACCATGAAAGTCTCATCTGAAGTGCTTTGGGATCACAGATGGTTTCATTGTTGGCTTCTCTTGCCATTGAGAAAAAGTACTAGGATCCCGCTCCAAATCTTTAGGCAACAAGTTTGTATTCACCTTTGAGATTAAAATCACCCATTATCTCACTAAGCAGACTGACCACTTCCATCTTTGTGTGTTTCTTTCCAAACACTGTACAATTTTCACGTAGTTGAGATGAAATATTTCTAAGTTATATCAATCCACTCTCCTGTCTCAGTAAGTAGGGTTTTGCTTGGGATTCTGCGTTGCCTCCAGCACTGTCTTTACAACAGCAAGCCTAGAGAGGATCAGAAATGGAACTCTCTCCACTCTTTTTCAAGCCATGCCCTTGGCGACTTTCGTAATTGTCCTAAGTAAGTCTGATACGCCCTGTTTCTTGTTAATGGGCTCCTTTTTCCTAAAAGCTGAGGGTATGAGAAGTCCCAAGAAAAATAGGATGCCCATTAGTTGGGCTCCAGGAAATTGAGGATTCATCTATTTTGATGAGTTTTTAGAAGGGTTGTTTCTGGCTGAACAAATGGCTTGTGTGTATCATTGAGTTTTCTATTTGGCACAGCTGGGAGACAGGTGCTGACTGTCCAGGCAAGTTTTGAAGACTCTAGATGAAAGGCGTTACTATCACAGGGCAAAGTGAACTCTGTGTGATCCAAGCAGCAAGACAGCATTTGTGAAAACCTGACCATGAAGCAGAAAAGTAAAATACAGGTGGGCGTGATGTTCGCAGAATTGTTCAGAAGGGTTTGGAACATCTGCTTAAGGGAGAAAGTCCCAGAAGCACACTCTCTCCTACCAAACAAACATGCTTTTTCCTTCCAGGGGGATGCAAGCAGTGCAGACAGTCCCAAAATTGTATATATTTGGCTTTGACGTACAGAATGGTCTCCCCCCCCCCACACCCACACACCTCCACATCCCCCCCACCCCCTGCCCCAGGCATACATCCTTCCCTGATGGGTAAGGACAACGTGGCTAAAGGCACAGTTTGGGATTTTTCTTGAGCCACTGTTTTATTAGCATATTACCTAAGGCTCTGGTTTCTCCTGCCTTTCTCTTCACAACTCAATATTAAAATTAATTCACTTTTTCTATGTCAGGAGGCACCTAAGGGCTTGGATGAAGTTTCTTTGGAGTTAATCCCACTTTGGCGTAAATCATGTAGATAATCTCACTTGGATAGTTAGATGTTAGCCATAGCAAAACAAAGAACTAAATGCAACTAAAAGGAGCTTTTGTGTTGGAACCATGAAGCAAAGAAGTGAATTTGCTTTTCCACCCTGAAAACTCTGTAATAAGCGCCATAGCTGCATTTTTGTGACTTAATTTTCTGGTCAGTGGCCAGTTCTCCAGCCTCGGTGATATCTGATCCCTAATGAAATCTGAATCCGAAGGAGAATCTGCATAATGAAATTACACTGAACAAGCCACTTTCCAGCCTGTGCTGGTGACCTCCAGGACAAAAAGCCTTTCCATTTCCTGGAGAGCAAATTGCCTGCCTCCTCAATGACGAAGGCCTAATCAGCCCCACGGTTATTCAGCAGGGCTCTGAGTGTGAAGCAGCAGATGGGATAAAAGAAAACAGTAATTTGGTCAAATGAATAGTGGTTATTTTCATAGCTTTCATTTGTACACATGAAACAGTGGAAGGATTCTGAAAAATATTCTGACCAGCTGCCGCTTTTAAAATCACATTTACACCCAAGGGTTAGCTGTATGGCTCAAGCCGACTGTACATTTGACTCTACCTTCTTTACAATGAAGTGGGCTTCAGCTTATTGACGGGATTACTCCTGCAAGGTGCTTTGACCCTCTGTGCCTGGGTTTCCCCATCTGAAACAAAGAGGGTGAGGGGGGCCTGGGTGGCTCAGTTGGTTAAGCGTCCAACTTCGGCTCAGGCCACAATCTCATAGTTCGTGAGTTCAAGACTTGCATCGGGCTCTGTGCTGATGGCTCAGAGCCTGGAGCCTGCTCTGGATTCTGTGTCTCCCTCTGTCTCTACCCCTCCCCCGCTCATGCTCTATCTCTGTCTCAAAAATAAGTAAAACATTAAAAAAAAAAAGAAAGAAAGAAAGAAACAAAGGGAGTGATAATAACAACAGCTCAGAGTTTTACTGAGGGGGAAGGGAATGACTGAGGTAAGGCGCTTAGAGCCGCGTCCGCTATACAGTGGGCCCTCTGTCCCTATTCTCATTGCTCTTTCTCACCAAAATCACAGCCAGTTGGGCCGGAGGCTGTTTCTCTGGAATCCTTATTAGAAGCCCCTGCATGTCTCTGCTCTGATATCTTGTCCTGGATAAGTGATCCAGAGAGTGTGTTCCGTCCTCGTTGGTCAAAACCAGTACTGAGACAAGGGGTCAGGGTCTCATATTCAGGAATGGCCCATTGAAGTGGACTCCGGATATGTGGGTGCCCCGTTAATTCAGGTTAAAGTCAGAGATGCCTGCCTTGGTGTGGTACTGCTAACACTAACCACCAACATAGAGAAAGTTCTCTGGATGCCAGACTGCACACACAACTCTTCCGTTTACGGGAATATCTTAAAGGAGTGAAGCAAAACTCTTGCATGGGCTCAAATGCACGGTAGCAAAGGCAGGACTCGGTCCTGATGGCCCTACCCAAGAACCCATAAACGCAACTCCTACCCTGACAGACGCGATCAGAATGTTGTCTTTGCTGTAGCCCTTGTCCTGGCTGTTGGCGGTCAGTGGCATGGACGGTGTATTCTTTCCCGTGTCCTCCTGTAAAATTCTTCTCCTCATCTATACATAGTCCTTGGAAACTGGAGCCTTTCCATGGAGCTTCTAAATCAGTATGATGTTGTTTCCTTGGATGTTCACACTATAAGTTTCTTTCTCTTTCTTTGGTTGCTATTTTCCAGTTGGATTGGAAAGCTTAAGTCTAAGATGTTACACATTCGAGTTTGAGGAATTTCCTTTTTGTCAACACTTAGGGAATTCCAAAGGCAATGTGAGTTATTTTATCCAGGCGCTTTTCCCATTAACAATAACGCAAGTGTTTTTGGAGGTTGGAAAATACATGGAGACTAGCCCATCCTCTTCACCTCAAGGAGAGAAAAGACTCCGTTTCCCTCTCTTGGGCCAGAGAGATCTAGAAGTTTATCTCCTATCTCTGAAGACTCTCCTTTTCTTCTTCTGTAGCTTAAATGAAGTATCCAGATGCTTGACCCTCAGCCTCCCAGCTTCCTAAAGCCCCCGCCTTTCTCTCTGCATGTTGGTTGGCAGAACTCAGCTTCTTTTGTCACATGTCATCCTAAACACCTTCTCTCCTGGTCTTTCTCATTCCCGACAGCTCACATTCCTCTCTCCTCTGCCCAGTTTTCTTCAGCATCTTTTCCTCTGCTTAGTTGAACTTTGCAACCTTGTTCCTACTCAAGGACACCACGGAATAAAAGCCTTAAGTGCCTCACTCAACCCCTCATGCCGTCTCCTCTCTACACTGTCCCTCCCTATGCTCTTCTTGGGTGTCAGAAACTGAGTCATCTGAGGCGCACTCTCTCTCTCTCTGGACACTTTCCTCCTTTAAAGCAGTAACATCTTTTTAAAAAATAAATATTTTTGAGAGAGAGAGAGCATAAGAAGGAGAAGGGCAGAGAGAGAGAATCGCAAGCAGATGCCATGCTGTCAGCGCAGAGCCTGACATGGGGCTTGAACTCACCAACCCTAAGACTATGACCAGAGCTGAAATCCAGAGTCAGACGCTCAACTGGCTGAGCCACCCAGGTGCCCCAATAGCATTATCTCTAGTAGATGTTAGTTCAAATCTGTTATTCTACAGGCCAGCCTTTGATGAGTTTCAGCCTCACCGAGAACACAGGTTCCCTAAAGCCAGTGTCCTCCCTTCCCATGACAGGCACCCAGCTGGCAACAAGACAAGTTGTCCTTGTCACAGCATGTTTGGGAACTTTTATAATTTGCGTGGTAGTTTTATCTTTTGAAAATTTCTTCGGAGCCTTTGTGTGATAATCTGATGAATTCTTGCAGAATTGTTTCTCTCCTTAGCCATGTGCCCTCGCAGGATGACCAGAAAATCCCAGGGGAATTTGCTCTGCTTTGCTCTGCTGAAGTTTGGCAAGGAGAGTCCCAGGGAACCCCTTGCCTGGTGAGATGCTGTCATCTTAAATTTGAGCATTGGCTACTTTCCAGCTCCATTTTGCCATTTACAGTGTTGGGGATCAGGGAGGAGGATCCATCTCTGCCTCCAAGACCTTCAACAATGGTGTCTCTAACCCATAGCGTCTTCTTTCTATTCCATTCCTTGAAGCTCCTTCCAGCTTCAGGAACCTTGGATTTCCCTTCCTCCTCTTGGCTCTTTATGACACTGGGTCACCACCCTCCAGCCCCGCCTGAAGACATGAGATCTTCTCTTAGCACCTGTGGGAAAGCTGTCCCCTGCTGAATTTATCTCCTGAATAGCCCAGGCCTGACATGATGACTGTTAGAGGCAAAAAACGTCACTCAGTGTTCATATTCAGAATAAAGCAAGGGGCAGAACAACCCATGTTTGAGCACACAATTTATTTATTTTATTTTTTTAATTTTTTTTAGAGAGAGAGAGAGAGAGAGCACGAGCGGGACAGAGGGGCAGAGGGATAGGTAGAGAGAGAATCTTAAGTTCTCTTAAGTTCTCCATGCTGAGCATGGAGCCCAATGCAAGGCTTGATCCCATGATCCTGGGATCATAACCTGAGCTGAAATTAAGAGTCAGACCCAGGCACCCCAAGCAACACAAGTCCTTATACATTTATGGGACACTCTGTATATGCAGATTAGGTGCTACCCACCGTGTGGCTCTGGGTTGTTGTTGAGAGTGGTGGTGTGTTAATAAGCTTAAAATCCTAGGCTTTGTGTCTTTGGCTACAAAATCCATTGCCTTCCGAACCCAAGGAAGGAGTTCTTTTTCTTCATGCGGTCTTTCTTAAAAACCCTCGAGTCCAACTTCAGACAGACAAGGAGTTGTGTTCAGAGAGAGCCAGGGCCCCATTTACTTTGTAATTTATAATTTGTTTCTAAGGAAAAGATTTTGGGTAAAAAAATTATAATAATTGCGAGTCCAGAAAAGGTTTTGTGCTTCCTTCTGAGGCTGCGTGATGTTACACATCATCCCAGAGCCTTGGCAAGAGCAGGGAAAGACAGGTTTGCAGTGGAGACAGGGAGCTCCCCAGATGGCTGGGCAGATGGGGCGGGCATTTCCGGGGGCAGGAGCCATCCTGGTAGGGGCCAGATCCTTGGGCTTCTGATCCAAATTACCCCTGTGACCCTGGGTTCATATCCTTTGTCTGAAAAGTGAAGCATTTCCACCAGGACAGTCCTTCTCAGCCCAGTCATACCCAACAACTTCCTTTTTAATTTTTTTTAATGTTTATTCATTTTTTGAGAGAGAGAGAGAGAGAGAGAGAACAGAAGAGGGGCAGAGAGAGAGGGAGACAGGATCTGAAGCAGGCTCCAGGCTCTGAGCTGTCAGCACAGAGCCTCGTGTGGGACTCAAACCCACAGACTGCGAGATCATGACCTGAGCCAAAGTTGGATGCTTAATTGACTGAGCCACCCAGGTGCCCCAACAATTTCCTTTTTATATCAAAAACTTTCTTAGGATACTGAAATGAAACTTTATAAATAAAATATTCCTTCACTATTTTGAGATGACATTTGATATGTAAAATAAGCTATCGACATGCATAATTTTAAAAAGACAGCACACAGACCTAATGATAATAGAAGAAACAAAGGGAATATGTTATAGTAAAATAATATGCATGTTAGTGAATAGATGTTAGGGTCTGAGTCTGAGGGAGCAGTGAGGTGCTGGATCTGCAGGTGGGAATTGGCTCATGTGGTTATGACAGCCAACAAGGCCCACAGTCTGCTGGCTGCAAAGGAAGCCAGTGATGTGATTCAATTGGAGTCCAGATGCCTGATTGGGAGTCTGATGATGTAAGTCCCAGTCTGAGTCCAAAAGCCTAAGAACCAGAAACACTGATGCCTAAAGACAGGAGAAGACAGATAGCTCAAACAGAAAGCACAAACCCTCCCTTTCTCACCTCCCCTCCCCCCTATTCAGGCCTTCAACTAATTAGACAATACCCACCTGCATTGGGAAAGGGCATCTTCTTTCATCAGTCTGCTGATTCAAATGCGAATCTCTTCCAGAGTTATGCTCCTAGATACACCTAGAAATAAGGTTTTCCCAGTTATCTGGGCATTTCTTATTCCAGTCGAGTTGGCAAATAAAATTAACCATCATAGATGGTGAATAGCTCTTGGTAACACTTAAAATTCAACATTTGTTGAATCTTCCCTCAATTTCCATGCCAGTTGTATTCCTGGAAATTTTGGTGTCTGTTAAAATTATGCAAAAAATAAAAGGTATGCTTATTTGTAAAACAAGAATTAGGTTCTGGGCTCAGATAAATACAGGTGTTTTATATACATGAATATCTAGCGGGATGTTTGAAAGTCATGCAGGATACGGGGCAGTTCTTTAATGTGCTAACCACACGTTATAGGACATCTAGCATCCCTGGCCCATGCTCACTGAATTCCA